GAGAAATGGATGTTTGTACAGGTGATTGTCTAACGCAGGTGAGAAATGGATGTTTGTACAGGTGCATTGTCTAATGCAGGTGGCTGTAAGAGCAGGTTCCATTTCATGTATGGCTACTCTCTTGGCTGTCTGGTCCTTTCATACTCTCTTGGCTGTCTGGTCCTTTCAAAGACTGTAACCTTCGCCGTAAATATAGGAACTTTTCATTTCACAGCTAGTTAACCGCATTTCACTGTCTTTTTTTGATGTTTCAGAATATTTTCACTTGCCATTTGCTGAAGAAGGAAATGTTCATTTCTCCTGGAATTGAAACATATTTACTAACTAAAGTAAATTTTCTCTGTTTTTAAAGTAGGTTTTTATTGAAGAATCACTGGTGACTCATAGATTATAACCAAGGGATGGTCTACACGATATTAAATCTTATTCTTTCACTGGGTTCTAACATAAAAATAAAACTTTTAATGTTCACTTTTGTTATTTTTGTATCCTACTCAATTCAGTCGCAGACGGTTCCGGTAGAGAAGCAGGAAGCCAGGAAGAAAGTTCAAGGACAGCCGCAGTTCACCTCGGAGTTCATCAACTATTTCATGGGTCAGAACTTTGTTGTGGTTTTCCCCCTTTTACTGATGCAGTTGCGCGCCCCATAAATTACTCGTGTCTTGGCCTATCTGCTGGGTTGTTGTATCTCTCTCAGTTCGGGTTGGCTCTGATAGGCAGGGTTGGAAGCCCACCTCGTAAATGATCTAAGTTGTGTCAATGGGGGTGTAAGAAACATGTACCCCCTGGGTCGGTGCCACTGACTGAAGTGTCTTTAGGCCATTCCCAAAGGGGGGACGTTTCTCGTTCTAATGCATAGTGGAATTGTAAATGGGCTGATCCAACATTGTTATGCTCATAACTGTGCCTGAACTACAACAGGGAACTGCTGCTTTTTTTTTCCTGATCCTTACTGTCTTCATTTCCTCTACTTCTTTTGTACGTTTGTCGTACTCTTGTGACCCACTATTTCGGGGGGTGCCTTGATAGTCGAAGCAGACTTTGTGCTGCTGAAGCGAGAGAGGTGAGCAGAGTAAGCCTGATTCCCTGTAAGGACTTCTCTGTTGACATCCACCCCTTGGCGCTCATATGACCTTATGCAGTTGCGAACGCCGTAAAACCTCTACTAAAACTTTTTTAAAATCATGTACTTTTTATAAAAAAATCTGCCCAGCTGTGGGTTGTTGATGACACCTGTCTGCTGCTTCTTCTACTTTTTTTCAGCGTTGTTCTTGTTGAGGAAGAGGGGGGGGGGGGAGATAAAGGGAATGGGGAAAAGTGCAGAAAGGAATGGATGGCCTATACCACTGTGTTTTGTCAGTTGTGAAGAATTATATATTTTAACAACTGCTGTAAGGTGAGTCTAATACGAGTAGCTGCCTTTGATGCCCCCCTCCCCATGCCTATTGTGCATGCGTGCGTGACACACACACATATATATATATACACACACTTAAACAATACATACACACACATGCACACACACACCTACCTTTGTACGTTAGGACATGTGAAACTGCTCTTTTAAGACCCTCTCCTCTTCCCAGGTAATGAACCCCTGTCCTGTCCTCCAGTAATGAACTCTCATATATTTCCATCTCCGAGGAACAGATCGGAACATCAAGATGGACAATCTGAAGCAGTCGTTGTCTGAGCTGACCAAACAGAAAGTCAAACTTCAAGCCCAGGAGAAATCCGTGCGCACTCAGTATGAGAAGGTGAGTTGTCTGTGGTTCTGGATATAGTTAAAGTGGGCCGATGGTGGGGGGTTCTGTGGTAGTATGCTTCAACAATTTGATCTTTCTGCTGGGACATTGTATCGCCTTCAGCACCAGTTGGCCCTGACAGGGAGCGTCGATACCGGACCTTTTACTAATCTAAACTGTGTTGATTAAGTGAATAACAACGGCTACATTTGATTTGTGAGATTATAGGATGAGGAATTTTTGTTTTTTAAAGAGAATTTTCTTTTTTTCTTTCTGTTTTTATCTGTTTTATTGGTTGTTTTTTTTTGCCAATTGAGATTTCAAATTTCAAGCAGCCTGGATTGGACCTGACTGACAGAGTTGAAGCAGCCTGCCTCCGGATTGATAGAAATTTTGTTAGTTGAGATGTAAAATGTAAACCTTCGTTGTGGATGGTTGGCGGGTGCTCAGGTGTGGTTTGGTTTGCTAATTCTTTCCTATCAAACATCTGTCGCCTTTATCTCTCCTCCTTCTTTCCTATCAAACATCTATTGCCTTTATCTCTCCTTTTCCCTTTTTTGTGTATGTTACTCTCTTGTAATACGTCTGATCTTCTTCGGCACTTCTACGACCTATTTGTATTGCAAGTGGCGTAGAGCTCGTACAAAAACTAAGAAAAAAACCCCTAGCCTTTTATAACCCACACATTGTCTCAGATTCTGTATTGCTCTCTCCTCCCTCCCCCCCCCCCCCCCCCCCAAAAAAAAATAAAAAAAAAAGAAAAAAGCTAAAAAAAAAAAAGAAAACAGCCTGGGGAAAACAAGGGGAGGACCCGTGACACATTGGGGAGATTTTTTTGTGGGGGGGCAGGGGGGAGAAGAAAAACACTCACCCCCCGGGGCCCAAATATAAACCGCGACCCCGGGGATGATTTTTTTCCCCCCCCCCCCCCCATTATTTACCCCCAAAAAAAAAAGGTGTGTA